ACAGCTTATTGCGACAAAGTTACATTATCGATTTTACGTGAGGTCAATTTCAAACTATTCATCGTTTGCTTCCATAAAATCTGACAATTCTTTTTTTTACAAAGAAAACTTAAGAATCTTGAAATATCTGAACTTTATTGATTTTTGCGCAACTGAGAACGATAAACAAGCTCAAAACTCACCTGATTGAATGTAATTGTCGGTTTTTAATCGAATGAGTTGAATGATTCAAATTCGTATAACTGTTGATACAAAAACTGTCATTGTAGAGTTCGTTACGAATATCAGAATTGAGAACAGTCGATACAAAAAAAATGCCATAATATTGTCGATACAAAAAAATGCCATAATACGGATCTCAGAACTAAGAACAGCTACATATAGAGAGAAATACATTGTCGATACAAAAAACGTTATACGGTTAGTTACGTGCCTCAGAATTGAGAACAGTCACATGTAGAGAGAGATACATTGTTGATACAAAAAAATATCATCATAGCTTCGGTTACGGATCTTAGAACTGAGAACAGCCACAAATAGGATGAAATACAAAGAGATCGTTAGCAGTTTCGGCTCATCGACAGTATTATAATATTTCTTTAATATCCCACCGATAGTGGTTATTTAGATAAGAGAAAGAGCCCATTATTATCACACTGGCTAGTCGATTTTGTTAGTAAAGAGAATTGTTTAAAGTATTTAACTAAACTAGTTGTTATCTTACGTTATTTGAGCCTGGGATGCCTTGTTTAAAGGGGAAACACGTATCATACAATGTGCGTGAACAAAATAGCAGTCCGAGATTGATAGGTAATATGGATAGTTGTGGAACTTCGGGTCATAAGAGTGGTAGGCAATCTTTGGACATTGGCAGGCACACGCATACTAATGGTAACAAAATTAAACAAAATAATTGTAATCAAATAGCCAGTTATTTAGGTATATTTTCTCTTGTACTGATGAGTTATATTTTGCTAGTTGCCTTTTACTACTTGAAATGAAAATAAGTTGTTATAAATTTGTAATTTACTCCCTCCCCACACAGATGGTCACCATCTTTTGTGGACGGAGGTGACGCAGTAGAATATAAACATCATCATGGTTTTAAGCTTAACTCTAATAAATTAAGTATCAAATTTATACTTGTACATAATTATATATATTATTATACATACACGTGGATCTGAATAGAAGAGCATTCGATAGGGGAGCATGCGTAAGTAACTTAACAAGTAAGTGTGTTAAGTTACGAGTCGATACTATAACTAAGTTGGCTCTCGGATATTGCATCCACCACATGGCTCGAACAGCCGGATGTCGAACTACACGGGGTGAATTATTTGCAAAAGTATTGATGGAAATCATACATTCAATATTAGAGAGACAATTCAATAGAATGAAGAAAGAGAGATAAGACAATATGTCGATATAGTCCGTTTTAATGAAACGTAATGGAAATATAAACAAACGAATAATTATACAGATTGCCTATGGTTGGCTACCATAGACAGTTTGAACAAACAGTAATACATACCAAACAAAAATTTACAAATTGATTAAATGTTTCGTTATTTTATATAATTACTTACCAACGTAGTTATTGACTTATATTCATTTAATTCTAAGATAAAATTGGCAAGATATTTGTCAAGTCAGTGGTTCTTTAATAATTCTCTGTACCTACAATGTTTGTAGTACTACAATTTTGTTACTTTAAGATTAATTTAGTTGATTGTAAGTATTAGCGTATCATGTGCATTTAGTTACATCTTATTTGTGAAAACGTGTAATTAGCTTTTTGTCTTTACTGTCTTTATTTTAATATTGAAATTATTTAGCTGTTAGTATTTATTTAAAAAATAAATAAATGAATTTCAACAAAATTCGGTTAGCCTCTCTTTATTTTTTTTTTTGAAAACAGATTGCAAATAAATGTTCTATAAATATTTATATATTAACAAATATTATAGATTTATGGTGTGTGTGTGTATTGATCATATAAAGGTATTTAGAAAGGTCAAATATAAATTCGACGTGGGCGCATCTATTATTGAATATTCCATTTTATTCCTTAATTATTTGTAATTTATTCACTTATCTATTTAAGATAAGGGCTAATAAAGGCTAAATAGATTATCATTAAATACCGGTAAGAGTTGTACAGAACTCGTTAGCATGCACGAGTGAAGCAGAGATTTGCCTACTCGTGTTTCTACTGCCAAGCAGTTGTACTTAAATTGCTGTGTTTTGGTTTAAAGATGAGTGTTAATGAAATTATTAGGTACATATCGAGACACAAAATCTTAGTTCTTTTATAATATACCACAATGTATGTGTAATGTCATGAGCGATATTAACGTGATATTGTTTATTGTTCAAAACCACACTTTTCATCGGTTAAGCCGTCAGGTTCTTTGTCAACTCCTACAAAATACTAATACAATAGAATGCCATACTCAAATTATATTACTACAGCATGAAGTTCTTCAAAACTGGGGTAAATAGATTGCTTCTAGGACATAACCGCTTACTTTAAGGTAGGCTTATTTACCACCTCAGTAGTATAAAAAATTTTACCGTAATATTAGTATATTACGGTAATTTTTTTTTATAAATACTAAATATTATAATAAAAACATCATGTCAAGTAAATACTCAGAAGATAAGATGTGCATTATATAGTAGACTATTATTTATATCTCGTTGGTTATCAACGAGAAAATAGTGTAATGTCAGAAAAATAACCATCGTATCTATCAAAAGGGAATAAAACTTACCTTGAAGAAAATCATAACAACTGTGCGTTATAATTTTAAACAAATGTCTCTATGTATTGTTGTAGAAAGGAATAATATTTTTAAAAAGAAATAATTTTGGTGAAATTTAAAAAAGTTATATTTTATGGAAATCAAAGTCCTCAGGAATGGTAAGACATGAGAAGGTATCATGAGTGACAGAGTATACTCCGTTATATCCACAAAACTATATTCTATAAGTCTTTATAAGTGACAGTTACTACTTTTAATTAGATGGGTTATGTGCTCGTTTGCCATTCTAATTTATATAAAAAATGTATGGTCAGAAGGGGGTAAAAAATTTCGAAGTTATTTTGGTGCTGAGTGGAAAACAAGAATGATTTAATTCTGTATACTAGAATTGGTATTTGACAGTCAGGCGTAATCGTGTGGTACTTTCTATATTTTTTATTATTATATTTTATTAATTATTAATAAATTGCTCAAAAAAAGTAATTTATTTTTATTAAAAATAATTTACCTAAACAAGAACATATAGTGTGTACTGCTCCGCGGCAATAAAGTTACCCCTTCAATTTTTCAATTCAACTAACAAAGTGGAGGCATCTACGGCTTTAAACGAAGTTAATTACTCGTAATTAATTTTGTTTTTATTATAACCAGCTTACAAAGATTTATTAAAGAATGTACTATGAGTAGCTAGAGATAAGCTGATATTAGTGCATAGACGATTAGTTATTCATTTTTTATTTCTGAAAGTATCTATCAATCCAAAATTATAACTACAGTGTCAAATAAATAAATTGTACATTATGACTTTTTATTTAACTTTCAAATTCTCTCATTTCGACTATATTTTTTGACATTATACTCGTACATGATACACGAATTTTTCTTACAAATTCTACGAACTAAGTCTGATAATAAAAAAGATTTTTTTTAATGGATATTGATGGAATGGTAGCCCTGCCTGTGCTGGACATGGTAGAATATCAGTGAGAGATGATGGATGAAGATGAAAGCAGGTCAGTTGACCCATCATGACGAATTCTATAATAATTAACTATGATGGTTTCTAGGAGATATTATATGTGAAAGAGGGATCTACTTAGAGGTCGACCTGTTAGGGTATATTGCTAGCAATGAGGTTGTAAGTTCCCATTACTAACATTGCCTTCCGATTTCATCCCGATAAAAAAGGATTGTATAAATTTCGTCACGATTGAAGTTAGTTAATTTTTTTCAAATCTATATATTTAAAACACCTTTATTTAATAATAGTAAAATATATATTCAACGATGGAATAATATTTAACTTCTATATTTATTTATCTGTGACATCGCGAGGTAGTAAGCCGCAATCGAGTTATTAGGTAGTCCGCTGGCGAATCGTCTGCTTTATGTAAATACACTTATTTCCGTTTGCGGCCAACCTGAAAGGAGGACAAAAATGAGAAAAACGCTTCATTTCCTTCACTGAAAAGAAGTGGTGGAAATTATTTTTCGGCGGCATTATTCATGAAATTAAGTTTTTATTCTATTTAAAAAATTGTATGATAATTTTATGCCAGTATATTTCATTTATAGTTTATTGTTTGGACACAAATATTTATAGCTTTTAGTACTTTATATTTTTTTTTGTAATTTTTTTAATCGTCTAAGTCCCGGCATAGATAAGGCCACGCCTTCCTTCCCATGGGTATCGTAAGAAGTGACTAAGGGAGCTTTATGGTGGAGAAATGAGCAGTAGCGTTCCTCTTAAAACATCATCAAAAGCCAAACTGCGGTTGCCAACCCGCTTGCCAAGCGTGGTAACTTCTGGCAAAACTCCCTTTATGGAGGAAGCTATTCAGCAGTGGACAGTTAACGGCTGATAAACTAACAACAATACTTTACAAAAATAACATAATGATGTTTTTAGGAAAATCTATTTAAAGAAAATATCTAATTTGAAAGTAAGAACCATATTTTATTTAATTTTAAGTACTTTTTAAAAAAAAAATTCAATTTTTTTTGGCTATGTTACGCTATTGTATTGTACATTCTGGACCAATATTCTGAAATATATTTGCAAAATATAGGCATATATTAATACCCATATTAATTTTTAAATTATTGAAGCTACCATTTTTTCTGAGAAACAAAATATACTTTATTTTCTAGAAGTGAAATATTTTAATAAAAAATACTGTTATTAATTTATTTATTTAATTACATTGTTAATGATGTGCGCTTGCGTTTGATGATGAACAGATGATGATGATGATGATGAATAAATACACCTAGTATTTGCAGCGATTTAACTAGGGTAAATAAAATAGATAATAATTTGAAGCGTTGATGTAATATAAATTTGATGTTGTGCGTTGAAGTTTTGTTTTGCGAGTCGGTTACAATTTTGAAAACCTGAAAGGTCATGTAAATTCCTCCTGCGTTATGATTGGCGTTCTCGCGATGTCGTGATGAGCGGCTCTTGTGACTGGTTGATGTTGTGCGTGATTATCTATTTTTAACTTAGCAGTCGTCCATTGGTTTTACTGCTGAAACCGCTTCATTATACGCAGGAGTGAATAATATTAATTGCATATTGTTAATGCTTTAACATGCCCCCGGCCTTGAAAGATTCTGCTTTCAAGTCTTCCTCCCAGAGAGGACATATTTTTGAGAATGCCCGCCGAATGATGCCTGACTCGGTCCTTATATCAGCAACTCTTGATACGTCGTCGCTGCCTGGAACAGTGGACACGATACGACCCAAATGCCACTTTAATGGAGGTAAGTGGTCATCTTTGATGAGTACTAATGTATTTGGTTTTAAGTCTGCTTGACGTGTTTTCCATTTATTCCTTGTCTGCATCTCGGATATATATTCTTTGGACCATCTTGTCCAAAAATGTTGGCGAATTTGTTCCACACGCTGATATCGTGTCAAACTCGTTGGCGCGGCGTCTTGAAGATCGTTGCACGGTGGTGCGGTCAGCGGACGACCAACCAAGAAATGAGCAGGGCTTAATGGAAGATAATCATGAGGATCCGTGGACATAGGACTAAGGGGACGAGAGTTCATGACAGCTTCTACTTGAGTTAATACCGTGTTGAACTCTTCGTACGTTAAATGTAAATTCCCGACTACCCTTCGCAAAGAATGCTTACATAACCGAACCCCTGCTTCCCACAAACCACCGAAATGAGGAGAATAAGGAGGTATAAAATGAAAATTTATGCTGTGACTAGTAGCGTAATTTAAAATATCTTGTGAACAATTAGAGAGGAACTTATGAAATTCGTTCATAAGGCCGACAAAGTTTCTGCCGTTATCAGAAAATATATCAGACGGTTTACCACGACGAGAAATAAACCGATTGATAGCCAACAAGTATGCATCTGTTGACAAATCGCCTACCAACTCTAAAGTAACTGCACGAGTAGTGAAACAAATAAAAATTGCAACATATGCCTTTACAATGCGTGCACCTCGACCTTTGCGGTTTAAAATATAAACTGGACCCATATAATCAACCCCTGTATACATGAAGGCAAATCCTGGGCTTACGCGTTGTATGGGTAGATTACCCATGAGCGGTGTGAGGGGTTTGGCTTGAAATCGGGCGCATTTGGCACAATTATAAACAGTTTGTTTAGCAACATTCCGTCCACTAACAGGCCACCACGTTTCCCTTATCGCATACAAGAGAGCCTGTGGCGCTGCATGTAGTAGCCGCTTGTGTTCTGCACGAAACAGTAGTACTGTGAAGTGATGTTTAGCTGGTATCAATATGGGATGTTTTTTATCGTAAGAAAATGAAGTAGAATTACTAAGTCGACCGCCCACTCTAATTAAATTGTTTTTATCGATAAATGGATTTAAATTTGATAAATTGTGCGAATTATTTAATTGACCGTGTTTATTTAATATATCGTAGGTGTCGGAATAGGACTCTAATTGCGCAAAATATACTAATTTCTGTTGTGATTCGTTCAACTCATTGACACTCAACACACCTGTCCGTTTATTAATTTTATTTTTTGTGTTGTGTATGAAGCGTAACATGTAGGCGCAGGCGCGTGTCATGCGATTGAGTTGAGAGAATCTATGGAATGGAAACCAATTGTTTTGATGTGTAATGTGATTGCAATGTACTGATTTTGACTTGATTTCAGGCAAGTCTAACACTGACCAGTCCGTGTTAGTCTTAGATTCACTACAGTTGTCCTTTGATGCGTCATAAGTAATGTCGAATAAAAAGAGGGGGCCCTCCCACCATAATTTACAACTATGTAATGTATCTAAATAGGATCCACGGGACACTATGTCTGCTGGATTTTGGTTGCCTGATACGTGGCGCCATGTATGGTCACTTGTCAACTCTTGTATTTCAGCGGTCCTATTTTGAACAATAGGTTTCAGCAAATTAGGGTTCATTCGTAACCAAGCGAGAACAATAGTCGAGTCGGTCCAAAAAACTACCTTACTAAATTGACACCGTAGTGATTGTTGTATTTTTTCGAACAGTCTAGCACCTAACAGAGCACCACACAGCTCCAACCGCGGGATACTGGTAGGTTTTATAGGGGCGACCTTTCCTTTTGAACACAACAATCTGACAGTGATCTCATCGTCATCACATATGCTGCGTACATATGCGCACGCACCGTAGGCCGTCTGAGATGCGTCTAAAATGTGTAATTCTATGCGCGATGGATTATTACCTATTACGTTTCGCGGTATGTGTATATTAGCAAGCAATGGGGTGTCGTCAACAAATCGTTCCCATTGTCGAATGATATCACTGGGTAACGGTTCATCCCAGTCGAGCTTTAGTAGCCACAGCTTTTGTAATAAAACTTTAATTATAATTATGAAAGGACTGAGCATTCCTAACGGGTCAAATATTTTAGAAATCTTTGACAGTATGACGCGTTTAGTTAATGTTTCATAATCAATACTAAATTCTGTACAAAAGTTAAGCGTGTCAGACTGATTACACCATGCAAGGCCCAACGTTTTTTGTTGTGTATTTTTATCGAGAGACAACTCCTTTAATGCGTGTGAGTTATGTGATGGAATTGACTCTTGGCTAAAATTGAATATCCACTTCCGTAGTGGAAAACAGCCTGACATTAAGATTTTATTAACCTCCTCACAAAGTTGAATTAAATGTTCAACACTGTCAGAAGAACCAGTGATTAAATCGTCGACATAGAAATCCTCACGTATAGTTCTACTAACTTCTTCATTTGAGCTTTTGGACGCCAACTCCTTTAAACAACGGACGCTGAGGAAAGGTGCCGATGCTGTACCGTATGTCACTGTGTTGAGTTGATATATACCTAACTCATCTGTGGGGTTTTCGCGCCATAATACTAATTGTAAGTCGCGTTGATTATGATTCACTAATACCTGCCGATACATCTTTTCGATGTCGGCACACGCTACCCACCGATGTTGCCTAAAACGTAATAAAATGGCAATTAAGTCACCCTGTATAGCATCACCTACGAGTTGTAAGTCATTAAGCGATTTACCTGAGGTGGTCGTCGCGCTCGCGTCAAATACAACTCGTAGTTTTGTTGTAGTGCTATTCAAAATTCAAAATTCAAAAATCATTTATTCATGTAGGACATTTTAGCCGCTTATGAACGTCAAATTTTTACATTATAATTTTATATTTACCCTACCGTCCAGTTCGGTATATAGATCCAATTGAGAAGAACTGGCAAGAAACTCAATTGAATTACTTTTTTTTTTAAAGCCAGTTTATTTACAATGTATATTTATATAGGTGTCTATGTCTAACATTAAATGAAAATTCAGTGCATGAACAACTATTGCCATGCACACTCGTCATTCAAGTAATCGTTTAGTGAGTAATAGGCTTTGCTCAGTAAATATGATTTAACAGATGTTTTGAATTTATTTAAGGGTAATTCCAACATATCCTTTGGTATCTTATTGTAAATTTTTATACCTATTCCCATAAAAGACCTATTAACTTTTTCTAAACGATACTTGGGGACAGCAAGTTTGTCTTTAAATCTAGTATTAATATTATGAATATTGCTGTTTTTTGGAAATAAGTCAAGATTTTTATGAACATATAGAATATTTGAATATATAAATTGAGAAGCAACGGTGAGAATATTTGCCTCTTTGAATTTCTCTCTTAATGAGTCACGACTCTTCATACAGTAGATCGCTCGAACGGCACGTTTTTGTAATATGAATATATTCTTAATATCTGCCGCTTTTCCCCATAGTAATATTCCATAAGAGAGTAAACTATGAAAATAACTAAAATAGACTAATCTAGCAGTATCAGTATCAGTGTACTGTCTAACTTTACGCACGGCAAAAGCTGCTGAACTTAGTTTCGCTGCAAGGCTTTGAATTTGTGCACCCCATTGTGTTTTATTATCTAGTGTGATTCCTAGAAAGACAGTAGATTCTATAAATTCGAGAGATTCGTCATTTAATTTAATATTGCAATTAGTATTAAAACTTTTAGATAGAGAGAAATTAACACATTTTGTTTTTTTAGCGTTTAACATAAGATTGTTAGTTGTAAACCAGTGCAAGAGACGCCGCAAAGCACTATTTACATCGTCATAATTATTAGTCATTCTATTAACTTTAAAAATCAATGAAGTATCGTCTGCAAACAATACTATGCCGCATCTATCCTGCATGGCATATGGGAGATCATTAATGTAAACTAGGAATAAAAATGGACCGAGAATAGATCCTTGAGGTACACCCATTTGCACAAGTGACCCGTCAGACGTAGCGTTGTTAATCTTCACTTTCTGTATTCTATCAGATAGATAAGATTTTATTAAATTTAAAGCATTGTCTTTGACGCCATAAAAAACAAGTTTTTTTAGCAATGTATTATGATCAACGCAATCAAAAGCCTTAGAAAGGTCACAAAAAACACCTATCACATCCATTTTAGTTTCCCATGCAGCAAATACGTGTCTAAGCAACTCTGCACCTGCGTCTGTAGTTGAACGACCTTTGGAAAAACCGAATTGACTATTGTGGATTAAATTATTTAAATTGAAATAACTGACAAGTTGCATAAGGATTATTTTTTCAAAAATTTTACTGAGTGCTGGGAGTATGGATATAGGTCTATAATTTATTGGGTCACTCCTATCTCCAGATTTAAAAAGCGGTATGATTTTACTAATTTTCATTATGTTAGGAAATTTACCTTCATCTATACATTTATTGAAAATAAAAGCAAGAGAGGGCGCAATAATTTCCATTATACTATCCAGTATTTTAACAGATATACCCCATAGATCCTCTGTTTTTTTATTATTAAGTTGTTTGAATATTTTCATTATTTCTACTGATGATGTATGTCTAAAGTTAAATACAGCTGATGACTTGCTAACATTGTCTGTTAGTAAAGTTTCAGCAGCAGACGGGGAAGATTTTAGAGCCTGTGTCGTAATTAATGGAATATTAGTAAAATAAGATTCGAATGTATGCGCGACCTCTGTGTCGGAATTTACCAATTTGTTATTAATATTTAAAGCTATTTTGCTATTTTGAAAATTAACTTTTCCAGTTTCGCTATTTATTACTTTCCAAGTGGCTTTTATTTTATCTTTAGATTTAGTTATTATTTTACCTAAATAGAGAGACTTAGCTGTATGACAAACCTTTTTAAATATTTTCGAATAAGATTTTACATGTTCATGAAATAAGGGATCGGATATATAGCTTCGTTTTTCGTAAAGTTCGTAAAGATTAGCCCTAGACTTATAAATACCAAACGTGGCCCAGTCACAAAACTTTGATTTTACACTAGTTGAAAATGTTTTTGTTTTAAATTCACTGCTAGCTTCATGTTCAATTAAATTAAAAATATGTTCACATACAATGTCCGGGTCATATTGAGGTACTATGACACTAGATATTTTATGTTCAATTTTATTTTTAAAACGTGCCAAATTCTTTTGTGTTATTTGTCTGCATGTAATTGTTTGAGTCCCTTTGGATCCCTTAGTTTCAATTATAACTTTTTGTCCGTAATGATCAGATCCAAGACAGTCGAAATTCATTTTCACCTTTACTTCACAATTACAAAAAACATTATCTATACAAGTGGCAGAATTTCCTGCGACCCTAGTGGGTTCTAAAAAAAGATTGTGCAAATTAAATGATTTAAATAAGTTAATCAATCTTAAGCTTATTGAGCATTCCGATAATAAATCAACATTAAAATCGCCACATACAAATAATGTTTTATTCCTCCGTGCGACTCGTCTCAATGCTTCCTCCATAGCCAGTTCAAAAGAATCAAAACAAGCCGATGGCGGACGATAAACGCAAATTATTATACAAGTAACTAATTCTACGCAAGATAGTTCAATTGTTTGCTCAATAGAAATATTTACAATGTCTTGACGGTTTTTATATTCTACATCATTTTTTAAAATAATAATTGACCCGCCATGAATGGCATTGTTCCTAGCAAAAAAACTAGCTATATTATAATGTTCAAAAGGACAAATTATTTCATATTGTTTAAGCCAATGTTCTGTCAGACATAACACCCGTACATTATGTATGTACTATGTGCGCGAAATACTCCATGATGCGGCAATATGTAGTGTGGAGTATTGTATGTATGTACTTGTGACATATGGCCTAAATTAATATATTCCCTCATGAATGAAACATATAATTCCTTATATTCCGGTGTGTGTTGTAATCGTCTTTCAAGTGCGTAAAAACGATTTTTTGCTTGTAAATATGACTCACCCAATAAGAGAGGGTCAATCTTAAAGGGGATGCTTACACAAAATCTACCATCTGTTGTGCGAGTTGTAGTTTTAATAAAGTGTTCCTCACAAGCCTTTTCCTCATCACTATGTATATCAGTAGCCCTAGGAAATTCCTCAAGTTCCCAGAACTTTCTCACCTGTGTGTCTAGTGAGTGGGTAAAATTACAAAGAACCTGAGAATGTTTGTGTGTGTTGTTATATATGGGCCCCGATATGATCCATCCCAATTTGGTATTTTGTAAAAATGGACCATTCTTTAAACGAATCTTTCCTTCGTCAAGGAGATCCCAGAAATAGTCCGCACCTATTAAAATGTCAATCGGTTGTGACTCATGATATGATGGGTCGGCTAACTGTACGTGAGTCGGAATGCGAATATTATTTATATTAATTGATGTTGATGGTAAATCTGATGTAATATTCTGAATAACTAAACATTGTATATTTGTGGTGTAGGGGCTACACAGGGATTTGATGATGATGTTACAAATCTGCGTGCACTGTGTTACCGCGCTGCCTACACCCTTTATGGTATGAGTGGACTGTATTAATGGCGTGCCTATTTTCTCGCAAAACGATTTTGTTATGAAACATCGCTGACTACCGTTATCCAGTAGCGCCCGTGCGCTGTGATAGTTATTACGTTCGTCACAAACTTCAATCATGGCAGTGGACAATAAGACTGAGTCATTACTCGATGTCGATAAGGGCACATGCGATTTGCCATCTAATGTGAATAGTGCTAAAGCGCTCTTTTGTTCGTGTAAAATAGAATTATGTTTTTTCGAGCAATGTTTACAACAACCACTCCGGCAGTCATTGACGGAATGTCCGAAGCGTAAGCAGTTCTCGCATAGTTTATTTTGTGTAATTAATTTATATTTATCGGCAATTGATAAATCTAAAAATAATTGACACGAATATAATGAATGTTTAGAATGACACATGGGGCAAGGTTTACGGTGTACAGGTGTATATTGTTGATATTTATTCGTGGACATGGAAGAAACGTTACAGTGTACCCTCTGCGATGAGTTATGAGTTGGTTTTTTATTAATATTGTGCGTTAAATTATGATTTGTACTTAATAACGTTTCTAACATGTCTGCTCGACGCGAAATAAAATCAAGTAGACTATCAACTTTCAATTGACCTTCAGATGCACTGGTGTTAAGTGAGAATAGGAGTGTTTTGTGTTGCTCCCATTCACGTTCAGTATTCGAATCGAATTTGGAGACCACTATAAAAATAATTAGTGTGTCCCAGTGTTCTGTTTGTTCGCCGAGAATTTTTAATGCGCGGATATTTTTTAGGACGGTATCAACAAGCTTTCGCAATAATACCGGTGATTCTTTTGTTAGTGGCTGAATTGAAAATAGTGCCTTGACATGATTGTGAATTAATAATCTGCTATTATCATATCTATTAATCAGTAACTCCCATGCGACGGAATAATTAGATGCTGAAAATTCAAGTGAATCTATAACTAATTCAGCACTACCCTTCAATGACGATTTTAAATAATGAAATTTTTGAATAGGGGTTATTTCTTTAGAGTTATGTATTAGTGATAGGTAAATGTCTCTGAATTCTAACCAATTCTCATAGGATCCATCGTAACTGGGTAGGGAGATGGTCGGTAGTTTGACCATATTAAGAGGTCCCTGATGAGATTGTTCAGAGATTTTATCGTCAGATAGCACACTGTCAGCCCTAGCAATCACACTATAATAACTGGTTTCGAATTCCTCTCTACACTCTAATTGTTCATCGATATCATCAGAATGTTCCTCAATTTTAGACTGAACTTCGTTAAAGTCGGTTAAAAGAGAAGAAGCACCTTGTATGCGTAACTTAAATTCAGCTTTTTTAAATAATGCCTGTTGGGAACATACTGATTCTACATATTTTTGTAATTTAGTAAGTCTACCTTTTATCACGCCCCTTTTGCGTATATAAACATTTATTTCACTACTAGTCTTACTGGGGGATCTAGTAGGGGACTTAATGGGAATAGATAGGTTAGCCTGATCCATCATTGTGGTTTGTGGAAAGAATGTGGGTACTTACGATTTGCGAATCCGATGCGTTGTTTATTCTGACCGGTACCGAATGCGGTCTGCGTGATGCTATGAATGTTAATACACGGCACTAGAAGTATAGTAAACACGGTATTAACACAAACGAAAGGGAAGGTTGTGGGATATCTTGGCTGGTACGTTTACCGAACTGCGCTTTATTGATGTTCGTGTCCAGCTTGCGTCTTCTATCCAACAATATTCCTCCACTGGTCGTTGCTCTGGTTTCTGAAGATCCAGGAACGAAGTCCAAGGTATGTTCTGGTTTCTGAAGGTCCAGGAACGGGGGTCCACGTATGCTCTGGTTTCTGAAGGTCCAGGAACTGGGGTCCACCGTATGCTCTGGCTTCTGAAGATCCCGGAACAAAGGTCCAACGTATGCTCTGGTTTCTGAAGATCCCGGAACGAAGGTCCAAAAATATGCTCTGGTTTCTGAAGATCCGGCTCGAAGGACCAAAAATTATGTTAATGATGTGCGCTTGCGTTTGATGATGAACAGATGATGATGATGATGATGAATAAATACACCTAGTATTTGCAGCGATTTAACTAGGGTAAATAAAATAGATAATAATTTGAAGCGTTGATGTAATATAAATTTGATGTTGTGCGTTGAAGTTTTGTTTTGCGAGTCGGTTACAATTTTGAAAACCTGAAAGGTCATGTAAATTCCTCCTGCGTTATGATTGGCGTTCTCGCGATGTCGTGATGAGCGGCTCTTGTGACTGGTTGATGTTGTGCGTGATTATCTATTTTTAACTTAGCAGTCGTCCATTGGTTTTACCGCTGAAACCGCTTCATTATACGCAGGAGTGAATAATATTAATTGCATATTGTTAATGCTTTAACATACATAATTACATCAGAATATTTTCATTTATATATAAATTTCACATACTATCCTACATAAGGTACTTGTTATTATATTTTTGTTACATTGTAAATAAAATACCTTATTTAAATTAGGCAGGAGGGCAAAGTGCGTACAAAAGAGCCAGTGCAGGTTCAAAGGTTTATTTTTCCTAAGGGGATTTTAAATCGGAGGCCACATCTTCCGCTATTAATAAACATTTACTCAGAGGATTCCGAGAGAAAAAAAAATGTATGCTAAAATATCATTTGTTGGAACATGTTACGTTTCCCTTTATACTTAATATTGTGCGAAAACGAAGTTGTGCTGGGGATGTAACGATATTTTCAACGATTTCCGTTTCTGTTCGAATAAAACACAGACAAAAATATTCAGTAGCGTAAAATATTTTTTAATTATTCTATTCAAGCAAAATTTCGTAAAATAAAATATTACAAATAATGTAATATTGATAAGTTCACGACTTATAACTCCATATAAGGTAGATGTACCCACTAATGCTTTAATAGATTTAGACACGATATTTAAGTTTGAATGTTATGCCAATTCTAAGGATATAATATCACCTCGTTTGACATCTTTTTGCACTTGAATGGGTTCCGTATTTTGTCTGTAGTCGGATAAATACCGTAGTTATATTGAACATACACTTCAAGAATTCGATATAGCGATAGACAATCTGGCACCACCGGACGGACACAACGCCCACGTCTCGACTGAATTCAAAGGCTTTCTTACAGTCTCAGTGGTAGATTATGCTCTTCGATCTTCTGTATAATTTGTTGTATAGTTTTTCTGTATAGTTTGTAGTATATGTATTTTATCATTGGAAGACTTTGTACAAAAGTCGCCTGCTAGAGTGTTTGACCTGCTCGTGTTTCTACTGTGAAGTAGCTGCTATTGCATGGCTGTGTTTCAGTCTAAAAGGTAGGGTATGGCATTTAAATTTCGGGGCATAAAGATCATTTCCTCAGGAATAACAAATATAAGAGATTACAGTGTGTTCTATGATGTCTACGGTATCTTTTGTGCCCAGAGTATTGACTGTCGCCTAGACAATTACTACTTCCTGTCATCATTATTCTAGTTTTATAAAAATAATTTAACGACATAATTCAAATCCAAATTTAATTTATATTTAAGAATACTTTTAAATGTCAAGTTTCTTTTCACACTTGTCCTTAAAAATACTTTTAACTTTTACACTATGGATCACCTGAGTTACGCACACAACGAAACGGAAGCAAAGAGTGCTAATGGATGTACTAAATTGAACGGAAACGCAATTTCAAATCTTTCAGTACCGAGCCATAAGTGGCCAGTATATAATAACCTGAATTATATACTGTGTGATACCAGAATAGTGATATAATCGATCCCTCCGTTATTAAATTTCAACTGCTATCTCATTCTCATGTTACTAGTACATTTAGGGGATTTTCAAAAGGGAGTAAAGAGATTTTTTCAAGGCGGTAATGCGCGCGTTTTTTATGCAAATTAGCAAGCTGACGGGCTACCTGATGAAAAGCAGTAACCATAGCCTATAGACATAAACCGTATCATGAATATAACAGAGTTTCATGCGTTGTTGTCATTACTGAGGAGTAAGATGTTATGCCTCTGTACTTTGTAAGTTCACTACCACACTACCCACTCTTCAAACTGAAACACAGTCCTGCAAAACCAACTGCTTCACGACAGGAACACGAATGGGTCGGTACCCAAGCAAGCGACTATAGTATGAAGTCTCTCTCTAGTTATATATATTACGAAGTATATGGTATTATATTTAACATTTATCAATTTTTAAAGCTACTTTTGGTGAATAAATTAACATCACTGCACCATTACATAGCGCCATCTAGTCACAAACTAAGCAGAGGTTTTTTTTTTTAATGGGTGACAATGGGTATGGTAACCCCGTCTGTGCTATTGGTAGATATACACTAGCGAGGCACCAGTGAGAAAAGACAGTTGAGGATGAAAGCAGGTCTGTTTGCCCATCCTGATAAATTCTAGTCGAATTTGTCAGGATAGAATAGGACTAGAGAAATGGTACCTCAGAATTTAAATGAATACCTTATATATATATATATATATATATATATATATATATATATATATATATATATATATATATATATATATATATAATATTAAATATAATATTAAATGGATGATAATGGAATGGTAACCTCGTCTGCGCTAACGGCATACGCTGGCGGGGCATCAATGAGAGATGATAGGTGAGGATGAAAGCAGGTCAATTAGCCCAACATGATGAATTCAACAAGAATTAACCACAATGGTTTTCAGGGGAAACCGAGTGGAGTGATAGGGTGTATTTTGCAGTAATTGGACTGGACAATCCCTTTCCTACGTACACAATTGTAGGAGTTCACAACATGTTTATGGTATTACTAGCTTTTATGGGGGGGGGGGGGATTGTTAGTAATGGGGAGGTTAGTCCCCATTGCCATCAATAAACCTTAATAGATCGACCTCCACGCGGTTCTCCCTGGAAACTAGCGTGATTAATTTATCGTTGAATTCGTCACGATGGGCCAATTCCCAAAGAGGGTTGACGTCAGGCAGGCGGTCGGTTGTAAAACTATAAGCCAAATCTTTTATGTAATATGGATAAAAAAACATTACGCCGACCCCAAATAATAATCGGAATAAGGGTAGGAAGAAGACGATGATGATATGTCTACTTAGGTATAAGAATTAAATAAATACCTAGTGCCTATACATTAGCGCCTATCATTTATGTATTAGTAATGCGGACTACCAGTTCCATTGCGAGCAATATATCCTATTACGTCTACCTCCATCTGGTCCTTCCCGAAAACTATCGTGCTGAATTTCAGGTGTATTTCATTACGATAGGCTAACTGACTTGCCTTTTCATTATTACCTGTCATCCTTCACCGATGGGTTACCATTCCATTAATATTTATTTAATAAAGAAATAGTCGTTGCTTCGATTTCCACATAAACATTTCTATTCATGAGTCCGACTGTTTGTACTGATCTGAGTATTTTCTATGTATGATATGTATGTATTGACAAAGGAAAAGTAAGTTTTTCTGTCTAGTGCCCATAGTACAATTTTTTAATTAATTTATTTTTAGTTTAGGACTAAATGTCGCTGTGTAACGAGAATTTATTTTAATTCAATACCACGCTAAGCCAACGTGTTAATAGTAGGTCATAGGTAAAATCTGTCTCCAACACTCTAACTCAAATGTATTGTTAAGATTAAAATACATTAACGCCTACTTTTAAGTTACTCTCTTAAGTCTCATTTGGAAAATTGTAAATACATAAATGTTAGGTGCTAAGATGTAGGTACTGGGTATTAATTTAATTCTTATAGTTAAGTAGACAAATGAGATAGTATTTTATTATAACGCTTCTATCTATAATTTCTCCTATGATTCTATCTATATTTTGTCAGTAGTTCGATTTTAATATGCCATATAGGTAGTATGACAATAATACATATTTATCTATATATATGTTTATATTATTATTATTATTATATACATATGTATTATTTCTCAGCTTATAGGTGGTTTTGTAGAGACAAGGACGGGATTGTTACCAAGTCACTTGTTCTCATATTTTATTTTATTCAGTAGGAATGTTAGGAATTGGACTATTTAAAAATTTTCTAACTATAGAGCATGTATCTAATACTGTAGATTTTTGGAGTTCAATGAAGAATGTCTTATTAAGGTGCAGTTTATTTAATGAGTTGTGTAGTGATTTTGGGATAACGCCAGTATTATATGTATGTTTATCATTAAGGGTATCTGTGCACTTATTACAATACAATTTTTTACAATAAATTATTACAATTACAATAATCAAATCTATTGTATGCAAGGTAAATGTGGGCGTGTATCTAATGATGTTATTATCTGTAGACGTTATAATGCTTAAACTATGTAGAGTTACCCAAAACTTCAGGCTATTCATAAAACTTGCGTCAAACTTTCTTTATCCATCCATCAATCTACTTTATGTTCCAATCATTTTGAACGAAAGATATTTATGGCCATATGGTAAATATTGAGTTAATGTAATGATTTCACTATTTATTTATATGTAGTCATAGATAGAAAAAACCTAATATTGATTCTTTATAAAATAATTGTAAATTTTTTTAGCAACTTAAAAGGAGGATGAGAGGTAGGAGGATGCTAGGTAAATATTTTTACATATTTGAAGTTATGTTCATATACATGGGCGATGGTTACCACATTCCGTCAGTTGGCACGTCAGCTTATTGTCGTTCTAATATATACTAATTTTAATCGCAACTTTTTTCGAAGTATTGGGATACATTAATTGACTAAGACAAAAAGTAGCATTTTTTATTCCAAATTTTATAATGATGCTTGAGTCATTATAGCGCTAAGTGTTGACAATTAAACAAGTTCGCTTCTACGTTTATATTTTAGTAAGTAGTGGATTTTTTTCTAAATGTACTTCTTTTAAAATATATGCGACAATGTAGTTCTTACAAATGCGCTTGTTACTTAAGATACATATAGTTGTTAGTTAAGATATTAGATATATTATATATATATACATATATATATATATATATATATATATATATATATATATATATATATATATATATATATATATATATATATATATTATACATAGATATTATTTTTAAGATACTGAAACAATGGATTGATTAATTACATATTTCTTTTATTGTTATAGATACACGTAGAACTAGTAGTCTATTGTCTGTAGTATATGCAATAGTAATATAGTAATAATGTAGTAGGTATCTATTTATAAATACCTATATAGATTAAGGGACATTGAACTTAAACGTAAATAAATAACGCACTTTATAATATAATTATCTTTAATAAAATATTTATTCATATAATTCAAGTGCTAATTTTCAAGTGTTAAATCCTACAACAGTCTTTTATTACATATTTTATTTATAAGTAATATGGCCACCTCGAAACCAGCAACTACTGTGCAGGTTTTTAGAGAACATGATTTAATATCAAAATAAAAAGTTATTCTACCAAACGTTTCTACAAAAATAATCTAACTTCTTCCATCTTGTGTGTGTTATTTCTAATGCAAGTGCAGATTAACGCAATTTGGCAATGCTTGCTTAAATAGGACAATATTCCTTATATTTTTTTCATTTATTCATTCATTTATTTTCTAATTCCAATAACCTAAATAGTTATTACTTGCAACACAACTTACTTAAAAAGAGAATGCCACGTACTATATTTATAATCTGTGATTATGGTATTGTTGTAAGATATTTTCTGACACTTTATTCTCTATCTATCATCGTGTATATAATCGAGAATTTAATTAATAATTTATCAATATAACATTAAAATGTAATCTACCACAGCATTTTAATTAAAGCAAATTTAAAATACTATATAATAATACAATTTGTAATAATTAAACTAATCTTAGTTCTACAGCTTTGGCTTCATATAAAACATATATTTTAAAACCGAGACACTTCGTTATCTCTTGCAAATTCTTCTTTTCTATTAGGATTTACTACTTCTTCGCTGATTCTTCTTCTTACCAGTATGTAAATGTAGCTGAAAATGAGAATAAATATTATACAATTATATAATGAAACAAATATACGTATGGTTCTAACTTCTTTGATATGTGATAATTATTTACAGAATAAACGAAAATGAAAGAATTTTGGCATAATATTCAATATATTTTTTTCATAGGTGCACCATGGATATTACATATCATCTTCAAAGCCCTTGTTTATCGGTATCTTGCGTTGTTACTTTTAAAAATTACTAATAATTTTGCTAAATAAAAAGACTGCTTTCTGAGAAAAAAAATCTTAAATTATAATACACCAACCTACTTAAATAAAAGCAACATTAAAATGGTTCTTGTTCACAATATACGTAAAATAATATATAAATTATGTAATACTCACGCAAATAAACCTATAGCTACCACCGTGAGAGCTGCATCGAACAAATAAAATGCTCCAGGAAAGTTCTGAATTGTAGCTGCGTATATGTAACTTGAGGTCGGTGTGTATATAGAAGGCGCTATGGCTTCCATTACGCCTATAATGGCATTCAGTTTGGCTGAAAACAAAAATAGAACATAAACACAAGAAACGAAGAATCTATTATCATCATTACACTTGAAGATGAAGTATTGAGAGGTAACAAACAGCCAGATAAACCCGTTTTTTTTTTAAAACAATGCCCGCCATTTTTTATTCCATATATTTGGTGTTGCCAGTAATACCTAATTGTAAAAATAAATTTGTATTAATTTTTATTGTTTAAGAAAAAAAAAATCGTATGCTTAAATATACGTACGAATATAATTACCTATATGAACTACCTATACAAATTCACTCACACTCAATTGAATGAATGAAAAAGTTGAGTTGTTATTAGAGAAAAGTTTAAAAATAATACTACTAGTATCTATGTAGATTTAGGATGTCAATCTGGGTAAACGTGATACTTGCCAAGCATTAAAAAAATTAGCAATCATCATCATCATATCAACCTTTAACAGTCCACTGCTGAACATAAGCCTCCCCCTTGGTGGGTTTTGCCAGTAACTGCCACGCTTGGCAGGCGGATTGGCAACCGCAGTCAGGCTTAACAGATATTTTAAGAGGGACGTTGCTGCCCAACCCTCGCCCTTCCTTAGTCGGTTCTCACTTCATCAACGGGAAAGGAAGGGGTGGCCTATTCTATGCCGGGACCACACAGTCAAAAATTAGCAATGCTTTATACTAATTATTTGCCCAGTGACGTATAAAAAATATTTTGTAAGTTATTATTTTGAGTAGGTTTTATTATTGTAAAGGTTATCTATCTAGTACAAACATGATTAAGTGAGAGATAGATAAAAATCTTTTATCTAAAAACAATTTGGATCAACAAGCAAATTGTCTGTTCACCTGATCAAAAGTGGTAACCATCACTTGTGATGTGATGTGATTAGGACATTAGTTCTTTGAAAAGGTGTTTAGATTATTCCTAAGCATTAATGTACCACTTTTTCACATTTACACAAAGATAGAAGCTTGAATTACTTACCAACTTCTTCAGTGGGAACGCTCTTTGAAGTGATAGATCTAACAGCAGTGAGACCAGTATGACTGAAGATGTTGAACAGAGGTGCAGAATAGTACCACGGTCTGTTCGGTGCAAATGCAAATACGAAACATGATGCTATCCTGCTCACACCCGCAAGTCCACCTAGAGCGCTGTCTTGTACGTTCAATTTCTTGCTCAGCACAGATATGCAGAAAATTGTGCCTGCACACAAAATTATAATAATCTTCATCATCATCGTCATCATTTCAGCCGTTATCCGTCCACTACTGGACATAAACCTCCTCCATAGACTGTCATAAAGAACGGTCCTGCATCCACTGACTCCCTGCAATGCATTTTAGGTCGTCACTCCATCTAGTAGAGGGTCGTCCTACACTGTGTTTGCCCGTAAGCGGTCGCCACTCAAGAACCTTTTTTCCTAATAATAATCTACATGTAAATTAAATTTCCAAAAATTTATAGTTTATTTTTTGAGAATAATACTTTACAGAATAAACGATTTTAATATAATATATATTATGTAAATTCTGGCAATAACTAAATCAGCATTTATTTATTTATATGCTTTTCTACATTCACTTTTAATGTAGATATTAGGTTATAACGAAAATGTACACAGGCCGACTTAAAGGGATTTCTTCCAATCAACCAGCATTTTCATTGATTCGCCTTGTCACTATTCGACGCCTTTATTGCTAATACTGAGAACTGTCACTATAAACTCTATGTTTCCGCGTGAAAGCTAATAAGAATAATAAGACATTCTGGAGTAAACCACAAATTGATAATATTTTTTATTCAAGGAAACTAAGTAATTACAAGCATTTTTGAGTAATATTTTTTTGTGAATATACCACCCATTCGGAATTAATTTCATCTGAGAAGAACCAGGCAAGGAAAACTCGACTGTTTCTTTTAGCAATAAAAGTCAATTTTACAATAATAATTTTGTATCAATACAAACTACCATAAGAGTTCTTTGAATTATTAGACAGATTCAGTTTCAGTTATATATATATATATATATATATATATATATATATATATATATATATATATCTTATTATTAACTATATTATAAGTTGTATATCAAACAAAATATATTCAGATAAATCTCTGACTTTATTCGTAATTCAGATAATAAATAAATTGCCAAATTCCAGGTGTATTTATAACCCATCGTTATAAATACACCTGGAATTTGGCACGATGGTTTCCAGGGGATACCGTGTGGAGATTAACCTGACAGGGTATATTGCTAGCATTATTGCTATTGGGTCTGGTAGTTCGCATTACTTACAATCCCTTCTCCCTCTGCATGTCTATTTAAACCCAGGCATTTGAGTAAAAATATGGGGCTCTGTATCTGGCAATTTACTTATTAAAAAAAAAAAGAACATTTCATCTGGGTTCAAAAGGACTAGTTTCCAAAGCCAGAGTTTAAAAATCTTTATAACAAAGAAGACTAAGTTGTTTCGTATAGTAAGTTCATTGCACGTTATAGTTCTTAGCTACGTATTATGTATTTAATTCCTACATTATTTTATATCTTATTAAGATAACTGACGTACAATTTATAATTACGATTGCAATTCTTATCTTTCGCGAGACCTCGACCTGCGGTGATAAGATTGAAGAACCAAATTTACTATAATGTATCTCACAAGATTTTTTACGTTTTAATGAATTAATAAGTTCGAATTAATGTCACATTGACATTCACAGTAATACATAGTAATAAAAATAAAAATATTTAGATTGAGATAATTATTTATCTAAGAATTAAGTATGTTAGTAGTATTTTTAAATATGAATAAATATACCTCGTTCGTTAGGTTTATAACTACTATTTATTTATTAATAATTGACTTTAGAGAAAATTTCCTGTTGAAATATCTTATTTTCTTTTTCTTCCCAAAAAGCACTAAGCATACTATTGCCTACGAACATAAAACAATAGCCGTACAGGTCCAGCTATTCTCTAGTAATATACCTACCAACAAATAGAATTTGTACTATTTTATTTATATAGGAAACTAGTAGTAGTACTTACTAGTGGGAGTGAAATATCTTTATATTATTAGGTAATAATAATGTAAAAGATCAGCTAATACATAAGTGCATAAACGAATAAACAACAAAATATTGAAAATAGTAAAGACAGACAGGCAAACAAAAAAAAAGAACCCATCAAAATGTATTCCCTATATATATTCCCACCTAAGCTTACATACCGTAGTCAGTAAGTGTGTATGAAAGTATATAGGGAAGCAAACCTGGAAATTAATATCCAGGCTAAAGGAAAAAAAAATCTTTATATTTAAACACACTGTGGGGACTTAGCGCGACTAAAAATTTTTGCAGATTAATAGTACCTATTTCTTTATTATCAAAGTTTTTTCATGGGTGACCTTGTTATTTAAATTAAGGTTAACACGTTGACAACCCACTTGATAGAAAGTGGTAATTATCGACACCTATAGTTATAAAAAGCAGCAAGAATAATATAGCGTATACTGATACACATCGTGCATTGCCGTTCTTGAAGATTAAGGTGTTATGCTCCCTACCCTGTATTTCACTGCCATATCCCACCCTTCAAATGGAAACTAGCATGCAAGCACAAGTGCTTCACGGCAGAAACACGGGTAGAGCAGAGGTACCCAAATCTTAAATGAAAATGTTAAATATATTTTTTTAGACACAAGGCGCCGTGCATGATTATCCGCAATACCAGTGGAAATGCCCTTGCATTTCCTCTGCTGCCAGCCTTTTAAAAAGAAATATACGATTTTCTTAAAGGTATATAGGTGTATATATACATATCACCATCATCATATCATCATCCTCATTTCATCATCATTATATCAGTCGTTAATTATCCACTACTGAACATAGGTTTGCCCCATTACGAATAGTTTTGCTAATAGTTGTCGTGCTTGTCAGGCGGTTAGTCAACTGCAGTTTTTTTAATGAGTAAAAATGGAATGGTGGAAGATAATAGGTTAGAATGAATACAGGCCAATTGGCCCATCATGATGAATTGGACAAGAATTAGTGGAGTGGAGAACCGCGTGGAGGCAACTGTAGTTAGGCCTTTGGTGATGTTTTAAGAAGGACGCTGTTGCCGATAAGTTCCACCCCCGGGAAAGGAAGGGGCATTCTAAACTCGAGTTACACGACATATACAAACATATATAAGTACATTATTTTTTATATATATGTCTAGCCGATATGACTTAGTTTTGATATTGATTTGAATTAATCTTATAATTATGGCTTTGCGTGAAGTATCACTAGGATAAGATGATCCTAAATAATTAGACTATTATTTATTCATCATTATCCTCTAAGCAATATTTATTAATAGTCCTGTCCTAAAAATAATAACATATTTAATATTTAGTATAATTACATGTAATTTGTTGTCATTAACATTAAGCATGTGTATCCTGGTAACCACATTTAAATTTGAACCATTACTCAAATGTAGGTTAAATACTTTTGTGTTTTCTTTAAGTATTTTTTAATGATTTCATGTAGAAATCGAACTTGGATAACAAAAAAATTATTTTTAGTAAAAGTAATTAGTTTACATAACCTACATACCTACTATACTACCTACATAAGTTTGTAAATTTTAAATGATTCTAAAATAATTATGTAAAATGATTTCTGAATGTTAAAGATGTTTCTAAGTGATATATATATATATATATTATATATATATATATATATTATATATAATATATATAATATATATATATATATATATATATATATATATATATTATATAATATATATATTATATATATAATATATATATATATATATATATTATATATTATATATATAATATATATATATATATTTAATTCGCCTAGTTTAAAGTTTTATTTCGAATTTTCTAAGCAGATAATATTGTAGCAAAAAATAAGAAATAAAATGAAATAACATAGCTTAGGTAAGTAGCTACCCATATCATTTTACTAATGCATATACATATTACCTGCTAGAATAAAATAATATAGAATATTCTGCATTCCTTCTTCAAATTAAAAAAGATGGGTTGAAAATCCACGCATATTGATATTCTTCAATCACTCAATAAATAATAGAATAAGATATATCAATTTGCACGTATTATATGTAGTAAATATCCTAGTAACTAATCATAAATATGTTAAAGAACATTTCTTTCCCCTGTACTGATTGATTCACATTTTTTCGAGTCGTTGCAAACATTCCGAGACTAATGTTGGATTGTTTCAATGCGTTTATTATAAATTTATTTTAGAGACAACAACTTTTATGACCTTACCGACAAGACCAAGAAGGATGTTGATGGTGCCATAAATACTGTATTCTACTTCGTTCAAGTTGAATTTGCGTCTCGCGTATAAATAACTGACTTGTGAATCACCTGGAAAATAAAAAAAAAATAGTTATTTTACATGTTAATTAATTTTATTATAGTCTTTGTAGGGACACCAAAATGCAATTTGAATGGTGGACAAAGAAGTGACAAAAATACCTTATACAGCTTTTGCATAAGGATTATTGAGAAAATTAATAAGCATTTTAATATTAGCTATTAACTGTCCACTACTGAATATATGCCTAGCAGGCAGGTTGGAAACCGTAGTTAGGTTTTGGTAATGTTTTAATGGGGACACTGCTGCCCATCCCGCGACTATTAAGTTCCTTAGGTCGCCTCTTACGACAACCATGGAAAAGAAAGGGATGGTCCATTCTATGCTGCGACCACACAGCATAGAATACCACACGGCAAACAAGCATTGCTGAATAAATTATTCTATTATTTATTTTACACACAAAATACGAGTGTGAACACGAAAACTATTATTATGTCACGTTATGGTGACAATTTCAGTCAGGTAGCTGTAAGCAATTATCGAATTAACACACATCCAATTAGGAATTACTTTCACAGACTCAGTTGGGAATTACGCCCGAACAACATTTATGTATTAAAGATTCATCTAAATTATTAGGTCGTGACAAGATGAGTTTATGAACTCGTCAGCTCAAATTCGCTCAGTGTCCCAAGATATTAGTTCTAATAGCATTAAATGCATCCCCTACGAGAAGGGGCAAAACTTTAATACTCAAAAGACATTGGGTATGATAAACTTGTATTGGATATTATGTTACCGCTAGTTCCTGAATTAAGTATACTAGTGGTAATCAGAAGTTTTGCGTAAATAGTTGATCGGTGTATATTATACTATACGATTAATATAATAAATATGTAATTATATGATGTTTGTACATGGGAGAGAAAAAATATAAATTAAATATTAATTTATTAATTATTTAATAAACAATGATATGTATAAAGTTGTGTTTGTTAAGGTTTAACTTAAAATCTGGTATATCTTTTATTTTGACGCTATTAAGCAATTAATTAGCGAATAAAAATCTATTTATTAATAATACTATTCAATTGAAAGGAAGTTTTCTATGTTACTATTCATTTTTTAATTATCTCTCTAGAGTGCCGAACAACTGCGAAAAAAAATCAATCATTAGATCAACAGTCTTAATTTAATTTACATTAATTAACCAAAGCAAATGGCGATACACGTGTTTAGAATTAAAACAATGGTTTAACACTTAATTTATTTTATTAGTTCTTTTATCGACATTGTATGATTACTAGAAAAGTGACTCTCTAAAATTGTAAATGTATTTTACAGTGTCCATTACGCTGTTCATGTCTATAAGTGACGGTTATCATATATATATATATATATATATATATATATATATATATATATATATATATATATATATATATATATATATATATATATACATATATAATTTTTCATTTATATAAATATGTTATTGTTTCATTTCTGTATAATCTATGCAAAAATTAAACGCACACTGAATTCATGTCTTCAGGTCGTTTACATTTACACCAATGTCGAGCGATATTGACTCAGCTTAGTCACGCTCATGTTTCTCTATAACAAGTACGATCTCAAATTCGCAACATGACTAAACAAAACTCATTTATATTCCATTTTCTTGGATAAATACTATAATACGAACAACGACAAGTTTGTAAAGGTATCTTAATTAGGCATTAAAAAGTATTTCATATGTGTTTTAATATGTTTTTTTATAGCTTATTTTGTAAAATGAATATCTTATATGTAGCATGTGATAAAGAACGAAGAAGAAGTATAAAGAAAGAAGAAGTAGAAGTAACCGTATTTATAATTTGTCTTCAAATATTCATCATTAGTGATAGCGAGAGGACAGCTTTACACTGTGTTTAACTATACGTGGTTATAACTCCAATGAGTAAAAATCTCTACCATTTTTCTTTGTTGGTTATCTGTTATTCTTGATTTTTAGCTATACCTTCTATGTGGACTTTTAGGTCAACTTTCGACTGCCTTTACTAATATCAGATACATTAAACTCAAAATGTAAAATATAAAAAATTATTTAAAATCTAATATTATACAGAACATTTCGTTTTAGGTCAGTAATTAAAGTTTACTCGATTACAAGTTAATTCAATAAAATAATGTATATACTTTTTTGTTATATGAGTGCCCTCATTAAAACAGCGTTTGTCTGATATACTTTGTGTTAATTCACGCCACACTGCATAGATAGGTATAGGTAATTTTATGATATACTAACAATAAAAACACATTAAAAAAGCCTTCAAAGATAACAAATTCACGTTTCATTGTCTCGAAATTATTTGTGTTCTCAAGGATTTAACTTTTCAGTTAAAAAATACTCGTACATAGTTTTATACTGTTTATAATTTGCTGATTTCTGGTTTCGGCAAAGAATGAGCTACCTCTTCCTTTTTCGTGGGTGTCGTTAGAGGCGACTAAAGCCATTTAATAGTCGAGTGTCAGGTAGCAACATCTCTTAAAACATTATCAAATCCTAATTGCAGTTGCTAAACTGTCTGTCAAGCATGACAACTGCTGGCACAACCCCTAAAGGGAGAAGCCTATATTCAGTAGTGAACAAATGACTGATATAATGATGATGATGGTATTTATTGCCTAACATTCACACTTGACAGCAGTTAGAATATCCAAAGATCGTAAATGTTTCAATTATTCAAATTGAAAATATTTTAATAGACAGAGGTAATACGCAAAATCTTATGGTTGTAAGTAGATTTTTCAGGCAATATTTTTTGCTTTGAAAATACTTAGTTTCAATCATTACAAAATTTAAAGGGCCCTTATATTAGAATAAAACCTATCGGTTACAAAAGCGTTTTAAAGGAAAAAAAAATACGTAAAAATATAGACGAAATCCATTTACATTTGGAAGCCGTTTAAAAAAACTTTTTGATATTAAATTACAATGAAGACTCTCTAATGTACCATAAGTCGTTCCATCTTGTTTATAAACATCCAGAGATAAGCAAGGTTAACTTGAATGTTAGTAGCGGTCGACCCGGTCATTGTTAAAGGGATATAATACAACACCATCATAGCTGACCTAGGTGACCGAAGGTGTTATATTTTATGTGAAACATAAGATTTATTTCATAACATACTATATTAAATGTTAAGTAATATTAACTAACCTATTATATCAGTATGTCTACATAATAGAATGCATCAGTTTACATTTCATAAGTAAGAAAAAACCTATTATGAATTTATTTACAGATAAAGTAACGTATTATGTGATAAGTCTTGTATATTATTATGTTTGTAACAAATATCCTATGGATGCCTTTGTTCTACTCAGGTTTCTACCATCAATCGACTATGTTTGCATAGCTGCATTTTAGTTTAAAAAGTAGGAATATGATTGTGAAATTACATGGACACATAGTGCCTTAGTTTTCTGAAACGGCAGTGCTTAAGGGATATCATGAGTGTCACAGTATATACAGTGACGTTCATGTTTCATATTCAGACAATGGGTATTATTTTCGATCAGGTAGGTTGCTAGGTTTGTTTTAGATTTCCAGTTGTAAAATAGTTATGCTGCAAAAGATAATTGAGGATAAACCACATTTCCTATCAAACCCTTTTCAGAAAACCACTTGCATCTACAGCTGTTTATGTGAGTTTTCTTCGTCCATCAAACTTTTTCGGAATGAATTTCATGTATAATTAATAATTAAATTTTGCTAGATTACAAAAGTGGGATTTTGATATTGCTTTGTTTAAAAATTTGCACGCGTTCATCTATAATTGCATGGATAGGAGTAATTGCTGTGTGTGTAGGAGTAAACCGGTTTTAAAAGTCACACCATTATAGTTATAAATACGGAAAGCATGTAAAAGTATTAATGAAAATAAAAATATAAATATCTAAGTAACACATTCTATCCAACTCTATAAAAACATATTAAAACTCACTAAAAGGTGTCAAGCTGTGTAAAAAGTTTTTTTTTTTTCAAAAAAGGGATAAGGTTTTCTTCAGGGTCGGCAACGCGCGTATATTGCAGGTGTTCATAGTCTACGATAACCGCTTACAATCAGGTGGGCTGAATACTTATTTGCCACCTCAGTGATATAAAAAAAAATTATTAGATCTAAAAAAAGTTTTACTTTTTAAGTCAGTACTTACCTATTTAAATATACAATTTCTACAAATTCAGTAAACAGGTTTCTCGAATTGTGATGACATTACAAACAGTCGATGATAACACGTCTAAAAATAACTGTGTTAGGTCCTATAATTTATTTCGCATCATTAGCCTAATTTTTATTATAATAGATATTTTCCAAATTTACCAGCATAAATAAATACATAAAGTATTATATGTGCCTACCTACCCGTGTACCAAATTTCCTTAGATTTTATACACAAAGTGTCAAATTCTTCGAGAAAAGCGGGTCACATAAGTGATTCCTTTATAACTTCTGTATTTACTGTCTTATAATTTTAGCATTTTTTTAATGCGTAAGAACTCATTTAATAAATAACTAAATATAGACAGCGTCAAGACACATAAGTATATAGAACATTGATAAAAAAACATCAGCTAATTTGACAATTAGCTGACAAAAAGTTGACTTGTTTTTGAGACTCGATGCTTTGTCTATATATATAATCTAGGCATATATTTATATGCTTAGGTTATATTTAAGTATTTCATTCAAATTCGTTTAGACAGTTTTGCGCGAAAGAATAACAAATACACAAATATTGATTCATCTATCCATCCATCCTTACAAACTTTCGCATTTATAATATTTATACGAATTTATTTATATTTATAGTATATTTTTATCTATGAGGATGAATGATAATAAATTTGAGATTCTAGATATACCTAGATGCCTTTTTTGTACGTCGAAATAAAAGCTGAAAACAAAACAGAAATCTCTCATAAGTTAAATGGAGAGTGAAAGACAATAAACAGTAGATTGAGTATCCGATTGTGGAAGC